CAGTAAATAAACAATGTAGTAATCCTCCTCTAGAGAGGGGGCGGATACGGTAAGATGGGACACATCCCTAATACAATATCTGGGCACTACAACGAGACATCACGCTTATTTGGGCCACATAGGTGGAAAACCATCTGTGTAGGAATTTGCTTGTTGGTCCAATCTTGGGCTATGATACCATATTAGGAATGTGGCATAACTTGGCCCAAAAGCTAGCTCAAGAGTTAAGGATTGCCACATCCTTTATATACTACCCAAAGATCTTAATCCCAAGCAATGTAGGACATTCTAATAGGCCTCCTCGAGATGTGGGTGGGAAACGGTCCAATGGGAAACAGCCCAAGCCCAACATCTCGGAAATACAACAAGACATGCCACTTATATGGGCCACATAGGTGGAAAACCATTTTTGTGGGAATTTGCTTGTTGGGCCAACCTTGGGCTCTGATACCATATTAGGAATGTGGCCTAACTTAACCCAAAAGCTAGCTCAAGAGTTAAGGATTGCCACATCCTTTATATACTACCCAAAGATCTTAATCTCAAGCAATGTGGGACATTCTAATACAATCACAGCTTTAATTCAGTTGTTACATCTTTGCTTTTGGACTTTTCCTAAGTCATTCTCAATCTCCTAAAAAACATTCAACCAACAAAAATGGCCATTCTTAGTAAACGACGACCACCACCTCCACCACCACCACCGCGGCCTCTTCCACCACTTCCGCCGCCACCACCACCCCCGCCGCCCCAGCTACCATTTGGACCGAATCTTCCTTTACCTCATATTATCATAAGAAGGAAAGGAAGAAGAAACTATCAACTACGACAGATGTTGACCTTGTACTTCCTAACATTCATAATGCGCAAAAAAAATCAAACCCAAAACCAACAACCCGAAGAGACACGGGAAGAATGGGTGATTTGGATCAAAGACAAGATGGAGCAAGTACTTAGAGACGACGCCACAACTAGCTGGGACAAGCTTTGTATCTACAGAGTTCCACTCTCCCTTCAGAAAAACGACAATAACTCCTACTTCCCTCAAACCGTCTCTCTTGGTCCGTACCACCATGGACTATCACAAATGGCGTGCGGTCAATATGGTCATGAAACGTACCAAGCAAGGCATCGGATTGTATATTGACGCCATGAAAGAGCTCGAAGAGAGGGCTCGTTCTTGCTACAAAGGTCGTATTGGTTTGAGCAGTAACAAGTTCACCCAAATGCTAGTTCTTGATGGTTGTTTTGTTCTCGATCTCTTCAGAGGAGCCTATGAAGGATTCTTGAAACTTGGGTAAGCATAATAATTTAATTTTCTGCTAAACCGGTCTGATTTCAGATCCGGTTGTCTAAACTGTTGACTTTGGTTTCTTTAATTTTTTTTTTCTTCTACTTTTGTTGTTGTGAAGATACAATCGAAACGATCCCGTTTTTGCCATGCGAGGATCGATGCATTCGATTCGACGTGACATGCTAATGCTGGAAAATCAACTTCCTTTGTTTGTCTTAAACCGGTTATTAGAGCTACAACTCGGTACACAATACCAAACCGGTTTAGTGGCACAATTAGCGGTTCGGTTCTTCAATCCGTTGATGCCAACCTATATGCCATCAACCAAAATTGACAACTCGCAAGAAAACAATAAATTCTTTAACCCAATTGCTGACAAGGAGAAGGAAGAGCTGCACTGTCTGGATGTTTTCCGTCGAAGTCTGCTCCAGCCTAGTCTGAAACCGGAGCCAAGGTTATCGCGAAGTAGATGGTCTAGGAAACCGCTTGTGGCGGACAAGCGCCAACAACAACTACTACATTGCGTGACAGAACTAAGAGAGGCCGGTATAAAATTCAAAAGAAGAAAATCCGACCGGTTTTGGGATATTCAATTCAAAAACGGTTGTCTAGAGATACCGAACTACTTATCCATGATGGTTAGTTCACGTTTTTCGTTTTTATTTATTTTACATTCATTCTTATGATCAGTGTCCTTCTAATTATATTTTTTACTCCTCGCTTATATTGTTGCCTAATGGACGAGTGAATTTGGTAGAATTTAATGGAATGTTAAATTCTAGTGTTATTCAAGTAGGTATTTCATGAATTCTTTTAAATTCCAATGTTATTCAGTTTCTTAGTTTCTTAATTCTAGCAAATGCAAGTGTTATTTAATATTATGTAGTTTTGGATGAAAAAGTTATTTGACGAGAATTTAATAGAATTTCTAGTGTAAAAATGTAAAGAAAAATTCTGAGCTTTTAGGTTGAGAATTGGACAGAAATATATAAATAGGGCTTCAAATAAAATGACGGATCTGTGATTTGTGAATTTGTGAATCATATTAGGAATTTGTGATTTCATCATTTGAATTTAGCGTGGATTATTATAGACATAGAATTAGTGTTTGACGTCTCCGGTGACGTCTATATATGGGGGAGACATGGAGACTTTCACCAGAGAATGGTGCAGTTAGCATCTTGACGGTGGAGGTGGGAGCATCTCCGGGACTGACATCGATACTGTGGCCGGAAACTAGGTGCGATTATGTCTTGAAGGAGACAAAATTATCTCTGGGAGGATTGAATCAGGGAGTGTAAGAATTATGTGACGAAAGAGAGATGATGATTCCTCCTCTGTTCATGACCAGATTATGAACCCAACCAATAGAGGAAGAAGATGAATAGTATAGATTGGGTAGATGGGTTAGATACAATTGATTTTTGACATTCTCTTTCTATTTTCTTAAAAGTTTCGGTTTGTAATTTCTAGCAAATTCTATTAAAATGTTGAAAATTACAATAGTTAGAATTAAATCATTCCTTAAAAATCTGTAGCTTACGTCTCTAATTCTATCCAACTGAATTCTATTAAAGTTTTTCATCCAATACCCCCACCTAAGAATCAAAATGTGATACACATCTGCATATAAACGATTTTGTACAAAACCAAAAATTTGTGCGACATGTATTGGTTTTGTTAAAAACAATTTCCCCACAAGTTGCTAAAGTAAATAGACTGACATCGATTGTTGCCTATTTCACCAAAACACTATATGGTCTCTCTTTGTGTTTTTTGTAGGTACCAAGTCTCTTTTCTCAAATCTTATAGCTTACGAGCAGTGCCATATCGATTCAACCAACGATATAACATCCTACATAATTTTCATGGACAATCTAATAGATTCTGCTGACGATATTAGGTATTTGCACTACTATGATATCATCGAGCACTGGTTAGGAAATGATTCGGAAGTTGCTGATGTCTTCAACCGGCTATGTCAAGAAGTGGCTTTCGACCTCGAAAATACTTATTTATCTGAATTGTCAAATAAGGTGGACCGTTTTTATAACCGAAAGTGGAATGTTCTGAAGGCAACCTTGAAACACAAGTACTTCAGTAATCCTTGGGCATATTTCTCTTTCTTTGCAGCAGTTATTCTGCTACTTCTCACATTATTTCAGAGTTTTTTTACTAGTTATCCTTATTTTAAGCCACCTTCTTGATTCTCATGAACTTTGAATGTTTTGTAAATTTCTTACTTTGTTTTTTCTCTTGTACTTCACTGTATTATTTTGAAGCTATTTATTTGTTAGACCTACGGAAGAGATTTTTCAGTACAGATATGTGTGTTAACAAACTGGGTTACTAGAACTCTTTTATATCCATTACAATTTTTTGGTAACAAATGAGTTTGCAACTTACTGGTAATTTTCTATACCATGGTAAATTGTATAGCCCGTCACAAATCAATACAGAATTTTCCATTGCAAAAAAAAGATTCAACATGTTATATGTTGCAAATTCTCGTCTCTTGGCGATTTTTAAAGGACTTTACATTGCATGAATATAGATTTTTTCTTTAATTGTAATTAATCAACAAAAACAAAAACTGCTTTACAAGGCAATGTTTCCAGAATACAGATATTTTTTGTAGCGACTACAAAGCATATTTAATAATAGTTTGGTAGTTTCAAGTTCAATCCTTGAAATGTATTTACCATCTCTGTACCACACAAGACTCAAAGTTGTAATGATCTTGAGAAATTCTTCATTTAAGGCTCTCATAATACACCATTATTGAGCTAGTGAGGGACGAGTGTTTTAAGAGTTCTTTTTATTAAGATTTGTAAAATCAAAACAAACAAAACGTGGCCCGTCAAGGTGTTATTTAACAGCTCTTAAGTTTGACAAAGTTATAGTTAATGTAGGTGTATGATTAGATATTCAAACTTATTAATGTGTGTGCTGTGCACAGATCTATCATTTTGTTACATCTTAGTTTTTCAACATTTTTTTCTTTCTCAAAGCTTTAACCAACAAAAATGGTACGTATTCTTTCATTTACACCACCGCCTCCTCCACCACCACCACCATCGTTTAGATCAATTCCTCGTCCACCACCACCGCCATCGTTTAGATCAATTCCTCCTCGGCGGCACTTCTTCAAAAAGAAAAGCAAAAGTCTACCACCACCACCACCACCGCTACCGCCAGCGCGACCATTTGGACCGATTCTTCCTTGGCGGTATTCTGTCAAAAGAAAAAGGAATAATCGACTACAACCGTCTACGATCCAGAAAGACATGTTGACATGGTACTTACTCACCCTCATGATGCGCCAAAAACTCCATAACCGAAACAAACAACCCGAAGAGACACGAGGAGAATGGGTGATCTCAATCAGAGACAAGATGGAGCAAGCGCTTAGAGAAGACGCCACAACTAGTTGGGACAAGCTATGTATCTACAGAGTTCCACAATACCTTCAAGAGAACAACAAGAAGTCCTATTTCCCTCAGACCGTCTCACTTGGTCCGTTTCACCATGGCAACAAACATCTCCTACCCATGGACCGTCACAAGTGGCGTGCAGTCAATATGGTCATGGCACGTACCAAACACGACATTGAAATGTATATTGACGCCATGAAAGAGCTTGAAGACAGGGCTCGTGCTTGCTACGAAGGTCCTATAGATTTGAGCAGCAACAAGTTCTGTGAAATGTTGGTTCTTGATGGTTGTTTCGTTCTCGAGCTCTTCAGAGGAGCTGATGAAGGATTCTCGGAACTCGGGTAAATTTGATTAAATTTCTATTTTATCTGGTTATCTAATATACCTAATCATAAGGTCATAATGTATATAATTTCAGATCCGCTAAGCTAAACTGTTGACTTTTTTTTTGTGTGTGTGTATGTAGATATGATCGTAACGATCCAGTTTTCGCAATGCGAGGATCAATGCATTCGATTCAACGTGACATGGTAATGCTAGAAAATCAACTTCCTTTGTTCGTTCTCAACCGGTTACTAGAGATACAGCTTGGTCAACGGCACCAAACCGGTTTAGTGGCGCAATTAGCAGTACGGTTCTTTGATCCACTAATGCCTACCGATGAGCTGTTGACCAAAACCGACAACTCATTGGAAAATGATAAATTCTTTAACCCGATTGCCGATAAGGACAAGGGAGAGTTGCATTGTCTAGATGTTTTCCGTCGAAATCTACTTCGGCCTTGTTCGAAACCGGAGCCGAGGTTATCAAGAAGGAGATGGTCGTGGAAAACTCGTGTGGCGGATAAGCGCCAACAACAACTGATACATTGCGTGACCGAACTAAGAGAAGCTGGTATTAAATTCAGAAGGAGGAAAACCGACCGGTTTTGGGATATTAGGTTCGAAAACGGTTATCTCGAGATACCTAAACTACTAATCCATGACGGTAATTGAGTTCACATTTCAAATCTTGTTTTTCACGTTTATATGGATAGACAAAGTCACAAAGAACATAAATATATTATATATCATAATTAGGGATATCCACCTCCATATAAATGGTATTTTAAAATCATGTTTTACACTCCAACATGATCTATTTTTCTCTTCCAATTTTTTTTATCATAAAACCAACATTTCTCCACAAGTTGCCAAATGAATTGTCAGGATCAATTATTCCTTATTAACCATTTCAGAATGATTTAAGCAATGGCTAAAATTAAGAATATCAAATAAATACACTTCTTTTTATACAATCCTTTAACTTCTTGATGAGCTTATACATATATACCATGGTTTCTCGTGTTTTTTGCAGGTACCAAATCTCTCTTCTCGAATCTTATAGCTTTCGAACAGTGTCATATTGACTCGAGCAACGATATAACATCATACATAATCTTTATGGATAATCTAATAGATTCTCCAGAAGATGTTAGTTATTTGCATTATTGTGGTATCATCGAACATTGGTTAGGAAATGATTATGAAGTTGCGGATTTGTTCAACCGGCTATGTCAAGAAGTGGCTTTCGACCCCCAAAATAGTTATTTATCGCAACTGTCGAATAAAGTTGATCGGAATTATAGCCGCAAGTGGAATGTTCTGAAGGCGATCTTAAAACACAAGTACTTCAATAATCCTTGGGCATATTTCTCTTTTTTTGCTGCACTTGTCCTGCTATTTCTCACGTTATTTCAGAGTTTTTTCACTGCTTATCCTTATTTTTACCCACCTTCCTAGTTTTCATTATTGTTCTATAGTCTCCGTCATTAAACTTGGAATGTTTGTAACATTTTTCGAACGTTTTTGTTTTATATTTTAATTTATTTTCTATTGTGTTGCAAAAAGAAAATCAGAAACTAAACTAAACAATTGTTCGTATGTCTTGAACCTGATCATGACACGTTGTTTGCGGTAGCACAAAATTTTCGCTGTGACTCGGTAGCTTCTCATTTGTGTTCCAAAACATTAATGACCGTTGTCTATTGATGGATATTCCAAAGTTTGAATCACTTTCCAAGATGACAAAAAATCTCCTCGACACTCTCATGTATCAAGACTAAAGAGTCTGGATACTCAATTTTTACTTTTGTCGAATGTACTATGTACAGTAATTTAAATAAAATCATATAAAAGTTTGATTGGGTGCAATCAAAGACAAAAGAAAAACAAGAGGAACTAAACAGTGAAAAATGGGAAGTGATCACTAGAGGAAATATTTTCCACATTTCTAACCTAAGAATTTTTTTTTTCTCATTTCTCTTTGTGTTTTAATTGGGTTTTCCATGGAATAAGTATTTTCTTATACATCATAGATTAGTCTCCATTGGCCACACCCTAAAAGTTTGGCTAATGAAAATAAGCAAATAAAATGTGTCCCGTCAACCAATAGATTTTAAGTTTGTTAGAGCAATCATCATCCATACGAGAAATGGTGAGGTCGTGCCATGTTCCTCACTAGCTGTGTAGTGTACATGTTCCGTTATGCTCTCACCATTTTTTTTATTTTCTATTTTTCGTAATAAATTGTGCATGAGATATAAGAAAAATCCATAATGTACCAAAACAAAAACCACCAAATATCAATAACCATGATGAAATGTGATTTTCAAGTTGACACATAAAGCAAAAAGGAAAAAGGGAGAAGAAAAAAAAACACACCAAAGAAGAGCTTTTTATTTTGTGCTTTTATCGTTAGAAATTACCCAAATTTGACAAGACAAATAATCTTATCTTGTCCAACGACTCTCATATTCCCCCATACGAGCATTTCTAGTATAGTTGGGCAATGATACCTCTTACCCATCTTTGATGCGTTATGGACTCGTCGTACTCAAACCGAAAAGAAAGGGTATATCAAAATTTTGTTATTTTTTTTTATGAATGTAAAATTTATTCAACCAAAAAACCTTGTTACAATGAATGCATCCTTAAATAGAATGGTCGTGTATACGGTAAATTGAAGAACAAAAATGCATTTTTTTTTTTAAACTCAGCTTGTCTCTCTAGTTGAGTTAACTGCATTATAAGGTTTTGACTATTATGTAATTCCGTGAAAACAGCACCTCCTTCTTAAGCCGCACGATTCCAATTAATTTGTGTATTTTAGTAGTTAAAAGAAAGGGCGTATTTAAATTTTAGTTGTTACTTTTCTTCAAAGTTATTAATATATGTGTGCGTGTTTAGAAATATCTAATTATGGTTGTTGTCATTACAGATCAGTTGGGTCCATAAGTACAATAAGTAACCAATTATATCTTCAAATCATTCACATATACTTACTTCTCTCTTCCTCCTCTCTCATTTTCTTGAAAAAGCTTCAAGCAACAAAAAAATGGTGGCTGTCTTCTATAAAGACATGTTGAGTTGGTACTTACTCACCCTCAAGATCCGCGAAAAACTCGAAACCCAAAACCAAGAATCCGAATCGGTTAATCAAGATCAAAACCTCCCCAGTTTACCCGAAATCAGATCCGATCAAGACCAAAACAATCATAACCTCGAGCAGACTAGATCTGAGCCCGGTAAGATAGATGTGATCAAAGAGAGTCCAAAAGATTCACGAGACGATTGGGTGATCTCCATCACTGACAAGCTCGAACAAGCGCATAGAGACGATGACACGACACTCTGGGGAAAGCTCTGTATCTACAGAGTTCCATATTACCTTCAAGAAAACGACAACAAATCGTATTTCCCTCAGACCGTCTCGCTTGGTCCGTACCATCACGGTAAAAAACGTCTCCGGTATATGGACCGTCACAAATGGCGTGCGGTCAGTAGAGTCTTGAAACGTACGAACCAAGGCATTAAAATGTATATAGACGCCATGAGAGAGCTAGAGGAAAAGGCTAGAGCTTGTTACGAAGGTCCCTTAAGTTTGAACAGTAACGAATTTATAGAAATGCTTGTTCTTGATGGTTGTTTTGTTCTTGAGCTCTTTAGAGGAGCCGTTGAAGGATTCACAGAACTCGGGTAACCTTTTTTCAATTGCTGGTTATTTCCGGTTCTTTCAAATCATTGCTAAACCGGTCTCAATCATTTTTGTGTAGATATGCACGTAACGATCCAGTTTTTGCGATGAGAGGATCAATGCATTCGATTCAACGTGACATGGTAATGCTAGAAAATCAACTTCCTTTGTTTGTTTTAAACCGATTATTAGAGCTACAGCTTGGTACAAGGAACCAAACCGGTTTAGTGGCACAATTAGCGGTTCGGTTCTTTGATCCACTAATGCCAACGGACGAGCCATTGACCAAATCTGGCCAGTCAAAACTCGAGAACTCGTTGGCAAGAGATAAAGCCTTTGACCCATTCGCCGATATGGGAGAATTACATTGTCTAGATGTTTTCCGTCGAAGTTTGCTCCGGTCTAGTCCTAAACCGGAGCCTAGGTTAACAAGAAAGAGATGGTCTCCTCGAAACACGCGTGTGGCGGACAAGCGCCGGCAACAATTGATACATTGTGTGACTGAACTAAGAGAGGCCGGTATTAAATTCAGGAGAAGGAAAACCGACCGGTTTTGGGATATTCAATTCAAAAACGGTTATCTAGAAATACCGAGGCTACTTATCCATGACGGTATGTATGTTCACGTTTTTCACATTTTCTTCTTTTTAACGCCTTTTTAATTGATAAAACCCGTATAAAATTGATGTTTTCTTGTTTGTATAGGTTTCGATTGCTAAAGAATATATATTAGTTAAGAATAATGATGTAGTAGTATGCTGCATAAAAATGCTACTTTTAGAATACAAGAAATGTCATCAGTTACTTATTCCATATTGACTAATTCAGAATGATCTAAGCAATGGAAAAGAGTGTGTGATTTTAGACTGGCAAAAAGTTTAGATAATGAAACAAATACACGTTTTTAACGAAACTATTAATTCGTTTATACTAAATAAACCCCTTCTTGTTTATTTTTGTAGGTACCAAATCTCTTTTCCTGAATCTTATAGCTTTTGAGCAGTGCCATATCGATTCCAGTAATGACATAACATCCTACATAATCTTCATGGACAATCTAATAGATTCTCATGAAGATGTTAGCTACTTACACTATTGTGGTATCATCGAACATTGGCTAGGGAGCGATTCTGAAGTCGCAGATTTATTCAACCGTTTATGTCAAGAAGTTGTATTCGACACCGAAGATAGCTATCTATCTCGGTTATCGATTGAGGTTAACCGTTATTACGATCATAAGTGGAATGCTTGGAGGGCTACTTTGAAACATAAGTACTTCAATAATCCATGGGCAATTGTTTCTTTCTGTGCTGCAGTTATTCTACTAGTCCTCACTTTCTCTCAAAGTTTTTACGCTGTATATGCTTATTATAAACCACCTTCTTAACCTTATACGCTTGTTTTCATTTACAAAGGATTTTTGCTTTTGTGTTCTATGTAGTAAATTTTATTCAAGCTAAGAAAGAACATTGATATTGTAAAACTTGGGTTTTGATACCATGGTATACTTTTTTGTCATGAAGGTAATTTTTTAAATATATAAATAAAGTTTATGATTACATAGTATTCTATTTTTTTGGGCAAACAAGATTAAATATTATTCAATCCATATCTTGCGATCATTGAAAAAATAACTAAAACGTTAGCAGTTGAGAAAAAGAATGTTATGGATATTAACATTGCAGAAAACAAATTATCAAGTCTGAATAAATATTTCTAGCTATGGGAAGTAGATACAAACAAAATATCTATTAAAGTAGATAAACTTAAAATATTTATGTAAATATTTGTGGGAATATATGATGTTAATTTTAACTTTTAAGAAAGAAATCGCTTAGGTAAAATTTAGAAATTCGATTGTATTTTTGCTTTGTTATTGTTGTATTGATATCTCTCTGCCATTAGTTCTGCTTTAATCAACGGTGGAGATTGATTACTGATTTGATTTAATTAAAGTATTTTTGTATTTGACAATTATGTAAATTTTCAGACCAAAAACAAAAATTAAAAATGAAACAAGCAAATTGTTTCGGCCCATATAGGCCCAATAAACAAAAGACAAAATTCTGACCGGCAAGAGCGGGGGATGATAAAACGGGGACTTGATCGTTAATCTCTCCGCACGTTCATCGGAAATTTCGTACGCTGCTGCTCTGAATCAACGCCAATCTTCTTCTTCATCCATTGAATCTCTTCTTCGCTACGAAAAAAAAAAAACTCGAAGCTAATCGTCCTGCATTCTCCGGTAATCAATCTCTACTCTCTCGTTGTTTGTTTTTCTCGGCCAATGCTTGTCGAATTTGAGAGATCTAGTTCCATTGATTTGGCGTTGAGAGAAGAGAGAGATGTGTGAAAATGGATGCGACCGAATTTGCTGACCTTTTGGATTATAGCAATGTGCACTAATACGGTCTTAGATTCCTTATCCCGCGAAGCAATTTTTCGTATTCAGTGCTCTTTCAGATGATTCTAGAAGCGAATTTAACCAAAAGCTTTAGCTAGATTTTGTTTATGCGCACACAAACATGGATAATGTGGGAATTTGGAGTCGTTTCTGTGTTCTTGCTAGTGTTTGATTAAATGAGAAGCTGGACTTAATACTCTCAATGTGAAATTTCCTTTGTTTTTAGGATGTTTTTTCCTCGTGAAGTAAGGCTAATCGTTGTCTGAGCTAGCGTCGGATTGCTAAAATGGAAACTGATCCTGCTGACTCTACATCTCAGTCTTCAGCTATAGTATCTGAGAAAGATGTAGTGATTCCTGGTAATTCTGAAAATACTATGGGCGTTGTACAAGATCCTGTGAGCTCTGCGGGAGAAGCTCATGAAGACTCCATTAGTACAGAAGCTTCAATTGCAAAGGTTGATGATACTCAAATGCCTGCTAGTTCTACCGGCTCTGAACCTTTAAGTAAAGCGGATGATATAGTTCCATGCCCGCCAGGTTCCTCCCCACGTGAATCACCGCCATCTATATTTTCTTCTTCTGGTCTTTCTTCTTGGGCCAAAAGTTTTAAATTCCAGCAGCAAGATCCAAACGGTACAGATTCTGGGATGTCAGCTTTCACAAGATTCACCTCTGAACTTGGTCTGCATTTGCCAACGAAAGGGTCTGAGGAGGTTGGTGACTCTAGATCATCAAACACACAAGTTGGTGGTGCTCTTGAGTCGCTCACAAAAGCTGTGGTTGATTCATCTCGTGGTGCCGTAAAAGCAATGCAGGTGAAAGCACGCCACATTGTCTCACAGAACAAAAGAAGATATCAGGTATAGTCATATTGTCTTCCTTGATTTTGTTAGATTCATGAATAGTGAGTACTGAAGCACATTTTTAGTCACAACAGCTTGTTGCAGTAACACTACCCTCTTTAGGGGCTGGCGCAAAATGTTTTCCCAAAACTAGTTGTTATCCAGTATAATATATCGACTTGATTCTAGTATAAGTTCCCAGATCAGTATCGCTTACATCTCTGGCATCTGGTCCAATCTTCAGGAGGGGGAATT